AAAATGACTTTGTATAACTTGACTATTACTAATAACCTTTACACTGACAAGTTATCCTTGCCTCAGTATATCTGCAATTTTACAAATTTTACGCAGGTGGAACCAGAGGCGTGTTGGGACTTGTACTTCCCGAACCATGGGAACACAACATAGTAACACAAGTATATTTTTGAAGTTTGCGTTTAGTTTTTCAGATTTATTTTATATAAACCATTTCTTGATGACTGGGGTATTGAAGCAGTTGGCCTACAAAGTCAGGAGCATCTTCAACTCCAAGATAGTTTTTCTTGCAGACGGATATTCGTAATCTTGAGTATGGCTGTTCCAAAATTATTTCAGTAGAACTAAGCTTATTGAAACAATAATCTGTCTTTAGAGATGAAATATGCCATAAATCACCTTTTCTCGTATCATCATCCGGGATCGGAGCGGGAAGTTTACAACTGGAAGTAACTTTTGGTCCTGCATTAAACAAATATATTTTGTTACACCTCATTGGTAATATTTTCGTTATTGAAACATAGAGGGCTAAACAGTAAGTATATAATAATAAGTTGATGGACAAACAAGGCAACAAAAGTGAATAAAAAAACCTGAAAAGCGCACTTGATACTTTACTGATGTTGGGCCAGCTGAATAGGTACAAATAGGTTTACGTCGTACTTTAAGAGAATGTACGATTAATAAAATTCCTAGTCATTCTATAAGATGCCTAATTATTAAAATTTCCAGTAACATACACATAAACTAAAGTTTAAAGTTTTTGTTCAATTAAATTAAGTAACCTGATAACTATATACTTATAAAAACTATGGTATATTGGCTACATACTCGGAAACGTGTAAATAGTTTAGTTAGTGATCTACGATTTCGTTGTACAAACATTGTTTGTTGTAGCAGCGACTAGTAACTGAGCATACATAATTTTTTCTTCATTAAGGTTTTGGGGATAAATTATGATAATACCACTTATCCAACTTTGATTGATATTGGAAATTTGTATCATAAAACTAACATTTAAACTCGAAAAACGTAAATTAGCTTCCTTTAAAAAGTTAAATTTAAATAAAATGCCACTATTTTTACTAACCAAAAGCATATGGCTGATTTAGGCAAAATGTAGGCCTATCGTTAAAAGAGGTAAAAAGGTTGAAAAGAAATTGTCAATCAATATAGCCCTATTGTTATTGAATATCCATTTGAGCAAAGTGAGTGATTGATTGTATTGGGAAACAAATGTTTGAAAAATGAATAGGCACTCGTTGAAGCTATACTGCAATTATTTCGTTACATTTCTATATTTCTCTTGTAACAGGATTATATTTTGGAATATATATTGTACTAAAAGGTTAAAACTTAAATCTTTGTTCTGCTATTATTACTATTAGTCGTCTTACTGATAAAGTTATTCCTCAGCTATTGAAATGTATATTGCTTAGCAGCTTTAAATAGCTATAAAATGAATAGTTTATAAAGATTTTATATTGTAGAAGAAGATATCCTATACTTACAGATTTTCTTTACGTATTGCTTTTACCCAATAGCATAGTAGTTTGTATTCTTGAAATATAATCATTTCATATAATTAAAATTATTCATTTACTAGCAGAGTACCCGTCCTTCGTACGGGGTCGGAATATAAGTATAAAATGCTTATTGCAGTTTTACTCAAGCTTTGCGTTTGCAATAAGGGAGGACACAGTTTGATCAAATTTGTTTTTTTAAATTTACAGTATTCTATAGCAAATTATTCATGAAATGAAAAACATATACATAACTGAAACAATGCTACTTTGACAGTTCTCATTGCGAATCATAGTTTTTTGTTGCTGCTTAGTTCAAATTAGCTGTTTTCATAAATGCAAAAAAAATATAGTGCTGCACCCTGTTGTTAAATCTTATCACTTTTTAATGCTTTTCCATATCATAGAACCAACTTTTTTTAGTTGAAACAGCTGACTCAATACTTTAATTCCCTTTAAATATGAATACTCATAAGGTTAACATGGGGAATTACAGAGCCACTGGGGTGGAGCCCGGGAGGATTTTTGAGATAAGAATATGCCTATATGTTAATCGGGAATGTAAGCTATCATCATGCAACAAACTGTACTAGTTCATTCTCAATTCATTGCTCTCACACTAAATAGTCTTAATTTTCGTCGAATTCAAGGTCCTTGATGAACTTCGTGATTTTCCTGACGATTGACAGCCATAAAATGTTAACTAGCACTAGCAAAAACTTTAAATGGTTTAGCATAAGCAAAAACTCGTCCAAAAACAAGACGAGTTCTGGTACTACCTGGAAACTGAGTTTTGGAAACTGCCTATCCATAGAATTTTTTCAAAACGTTTCATACCTAATGATATAAAAAAAACCCAAAACGTTTAACGATTTTAAATAAATATGTTGTTTTCCATTATCTATACTCTATGTACAAGTTTAATTCACGAATAAAACTTTAAGCTAAGGACAAAAGGGCTAGATGTATTGGATTTTATTTAAAGTTTTCTGCTAGTTTGAATGTTTCAAAGTGGTGCCAAGACAACACTTGTGTCCCAAACCTTCCCCCCAAACCATCCCCAAAACCCTCCCCCAAATGCCGGAGCCAGTGCGGCGGGCTACATTGATCTCTAGTCCAATTCTCAAATAGAAAACTTGGTTTCATAGACGACTAAACTGTATTGAATTTGTGATTTAAAAATCATCGTTGTACATCATTGATTGTACATTTCTTATATTAATTTTTGGTCTGTTGTTTATCAAATGGTGTGCACTGGAATTCGTTAACATCTCACTCTTTAGAATAAATAAATGCAAATTTTGTACATAATTTTGATAGAGTTAGATTTTTGTATTCTATTTAAGTGTATATATATATTTGTCGAATAGGTTTTGCAGTCTGAAATAGTTACGTATAAAACTGTAAATAGTAGTGTGTATTATGTTGCAACATTTGTGTCAACTAAGCTTACATATAAAGAAATGAAATTATATACCCTTAAACCACGATTAATAAAAACAAATAATTTAAACCACGAGTGCTGTAATGAGTTTGAAATTTGGTTAAATTTTAAAAACAACTTTATTTTAACAATAGATGTTTTATCCAATGACATTCAAAATGAAAATATAGCACCTTTTCTAGTGTATTACGAGATGGATGGTCTTTAGGTAATGTCACGTTTGCATGAGCTAAAACATACACTATATAATAGGATTTAACATGGGAACTGATTCAATTCAATTCAGTTAATTTATTCACGGCATAGGTGATTACAAAATGATGACATAGTTCAGTACATGCATTTTACAATTAACAAGATGACAAGCTTCAAGCAGGTTTAATATAAAACAAACTACAACTGAATTATTACCAATTAATTACAAAATTTAACACTCTGAAAAAAATATGATAGAAAATTTTATAAAAAGTACTATTGAGGGGATATATATATATATATATATATATCTCAGAACAAAAAGACCGGCAAAGAGCCAAATTTAGACTGAAAATACAATTTAAAAAAACAGTTGTCGTTATTAAAACAATAATTTGGTGACAGAAAAACAGCAGTGACATCTAAAATCTGAAAGTTATTGATATTCTAGTTGATTTAAATGTTACTCAACTGTTACCCATGTAATCCATACCAATAAGAGGAAACATTTTTACATATGAATTTTTATATCATATAACTATAACATTACGCACAATTCCAATGAATGTAATTGGATGACTCAATTGACCATCCATTCGTGTCAAAATCCTATTTTGTAAGGTACTAAACTGGAGAGAAGAGTTAAAATCATCGAAGAAAATTAGTCAACATTTGGTTGTGATTTTAATGCAATGTTATAATAAAAAATCTAACGGACTAATGTCATTAAGAAATCGTAGAAAATAAACCTAAAAAATAAAGATTAGTTTACTTTAAAATATGTAGCCTACTGTGTTTGTTGTATACTGTATAACTATTTTATAGTTGGTCTCTATGCAGCTATGTTTCGTTGGATCTTGAAATACCAAATACACTAATATAATGTTTCATGGCTTACATAACCAATACATTTCCAAATGTGGAACAGAGATATTTTTGATGACAATTACGTTGGTTCCATAAAGGACTGTACAGATGTCCGTGAGATGTTAGGAAGCGTTGGTTCTAAGACAAGCAGTAAAACCGGCGGTAAAAGCACAGTAAACACTAACAAGGTCCAGGAGACCCCGTTTTATAGTCATGTCCTGTTTAATTTAGGGTAGGAGGACTCTCTGAAACACTTTTCTCCTTAAACTTATCATGATACTGCATTTTTTATAAAACGTAATCTAAAATAAAGGCTTTTACAAGACTTTTTATTTATTACTAAACTTCTGATTTTGATAGTGTTTTTATAACGTTACCTTTAGTAACAAATATAGGAATGGATTATACTCCATATTCATTGAATCAATAATAATATAGTTTTTAGTAGAGTACGAAAATTAACGCTAGCCACTAAGTAGGTTAGTTGTTTAGTATATAAAGAGAAGCGGTAGATAACTCTACTGGTGATACAAAAATCTCTTACGACATTCTTTGTACAATCTCTCTAACAATAATCTCTGTATGTACAATAATCTCTTAGTATAACGGTAAAACCTATAGGCCAGATTTTGAATTCTTGATTTTGAATCTATTTAACCATAAGATTGTGAAAGTGAAGTAGTAGAACGGTATCCCAAAACCTATTCTATTCCCAAAAGTTTGACTAAATGAAAATAAATGTTGTTCATTAATATACCTATATAACATACCTGAATATATACGTTTTGAGCCCAGTAATGTGTCAGGGTTAGTTTGTTCAGTATCATATTTAAAACTATTCTTTTAAAATCGCACTTGTTACAATATTATTTTTATATGAGGGGATGTGAATTGTAGATGTATAAACCCTTTTATTTTTATTATATTTTATTTTGTGTGTAGTGGATTTTAATGTATTAATGTTGTTCCAGGAGTGAAGTGGTGGTTCCTGTAGTGATTATCTGTTGTACCTGCATAGTTGGTGTGTCGTGTGCTTCAAGAGGCCAGGATGGTAAGTTAATATCTGCTAGGCCAAACTTTACTTTCTATACATACTTTTGCATACGTTTTTATATCAATGAAATTTGATTTTAGTTTATTTCGGTTATCCATTTACTGTTCTAGGAATTGTAACAATGAACATTTACAATATCATTCCTTTTTTAATGCTAATTGATTATTTACAATTTACTCATGTTGTGTTACCTCATAATCTAGACACGGGAAAATAGTTGAGTCATAAATGTCAACAGATTAAAAAAATTAAGTATCCATTGTTAAATGGAACAATGAACTGGTTTCGAATGAATATAGAATTCTTCGTAAAAGACGTAATCACATAAAGTCTCAGCACATAAAACGTTTACTGTGGAACGATATAGCACAGTCGGCTAATCTGTGACGTATTGAAAATCCCCGGTACAGTCATTTAAACACGTGTACATAGTTATAGATAGTTATAACTGCTGTTGCTAATTCGGATGAAAGTGTTTACTTCATTACCGTTAATAAATATTAAAAGCAATAAAGAAATGCATCTTTCAGTAATTAAGAGACATTGCAAACAATTATGTGAAAGTTTTTTCTACTTTCATACTTATACATTCCAAATAAGTTGCATATGGAACAATACTCAATGGTACAATAGATTGACACATAACAATCATTTATTACTGGACAGATAATAACATCCACCTTATTATATTCATTGTTAAATCAGTTCGTGTATTCATTTTAAAATATATTATTTCCAATATCCATCTTGATTGAACCCGACACAATCCGAAAATAATCCATATAAATACACTAATAGTCTGTATGATACTATCTTACAACATTTTGAAAGACAGTTTAAAGATATATTTTATCTAATTTAATGGCCAGATCACTACCGATAACACCATTTATATAAAATAAATATCTCAATGAAGACTAACAATAATGTTGAATAATTTTTTAATGGCATTAAACATTAAAGTGAAGTTTAAAGTTCAACTAGTAGAAGTGGAGGCTGCTATCAAGAGTCTGTTTGCTTTTCTCCCTATAAACATAACTTCACAAACCTTCTGATCAACTGTTTGAGTTTCCCACAAGTACTGTGTTTGGTTAATCAGCTGTAATTACTGATGTTTGAGTAAAATCAACGGAAACTAACCACACTGTTGGTTGTATGAGAACAAACGTTAAATGCATTATTTTCAAGGTGTAATACAAATGTTTATGTAAATGTTATATGTTTTAAGGAAAAAAAACTTCCTATTCAAGTATTTGTTTACTTGTATAATCCTCGAGTTATCTCTTATGATATGTTATTCTGGGAAACCTATAGGTAATGTTAAAAAGATTTCGACTGTAGACTGTATTCAAGGAGATAAATATAATTTATTAGGAAGTTTTCAAATTTTATTCGGAATCGTATTTGCAAGTAGAAATAAAATTTCGCCAAAATAAAAAAAAATCGCCTATCTGATGATGATTGGAATGTCCAATCAAAATCTATCACCACTTACCATCTTTTAAATGTATATTTACGGTCTTGTGAGTATCAGTATAAGCGTAAATATATGTTTTAAGTGATAAGACGTTTCTTTTATTTACTTTCTGTAAATTTAATAACACGTACAATGTATTTACCGTCTTCTGAGTAAGCAGTATAAGTGTAAATATATAGTTACAAGTGTAATTTGACTATTTTGTGTGCTTTCAGGTAATAACATTTTTAAATATTTATTTGCTAAATGGTAAATTTTTACTGTTGAATTTTTGCTTGATAAGGTAGTACCGGTTCTTAGTGTTTGAGGAATGTGTGTGCAAAACCATTCAGTATTTTCGGTATTTCATCGGATAAAATCGGCACAACGAGTACTAAACGGGTCCAATTATAAGTTTTTGTATGAATGTATTTTGCCATTCTCCAGGTCACTGAGAGTTATATTTCCTTCAGATTAAATTACTCTTCGGTTATTCAGGAATCACAGATGAACGATAACTTGTCTTCTTCATAAGTAACCTGAGAGGCAAAATGAATGGTCTATGTAACATTGAACTTAAGGATTTTTCGTTAGAAGATTCTAGATGTATACAACTAAAGTAGGTATGAATTTTCATCAGGATATAACCCTAACGTTAATTTCTCATGTGTTTTAACACATTTATTTACTTAACTCTACGTTTAATCATTTAATACTGTGTAGTAGTCAGGGCAGCGATCTAGCAGAAATTTGACCTTGAGATGATCTAGGTGTACTCTCAGCTGTTTGCGCATGATCAGCTGATCACGTGACGTCAACTGATGTTTTGAGGATAAAAAGTGTTGGCCTGACCGGGTTTCGAACCCCGGTCTCTTTGTTGGTAGTTGTATGCGTTAGCTGGTTGAGCTACAGCAATGTTATGGGTATGGAGTTTTATATTGGTAAATGACACCTTGTATCTTATATATATACAGGGTGTGTTGGAGGTTTGATTTTAATATGGTTCACGGGTTCGAATCTAACCTAATATCATTTCTGGTTATTTAATCCTAATGGTATTGTATTATAGTGGGAGGTTCATGGGTTCAACTCTTACCAATCACAAAACATGCTATTAGAGGTTTAATACCGGATGTAATCTAACCACAGCTGTTTATTTCAGCTGATTACTTGGTTTAGAGGTTCATGGGTTCAATCCTAGTAGGTCTGGAAAAATACTTTATATAGTGTATAATGTTTAAGCGGAACTTTACTGTTGAGTATAAAAGAATGTTAAATGTGTAGTAGTATTGGAGGTTATTTTATATAGTGTATAATAAATGTAAAACAAATAGATGTTAAAAACAGCTGAAAGAAGGCTTAAGTTTACCATTGAGTATAAAAAATGGCCTTTGTAAAGGCCACCAAATATTATATGTTAAACTTATATTTAATCTATGCTAAATGAGTTACTTTAGTTTGTTTTTTGTATAGTGTTGTATTGTAGTGGGTGTCCTAGAGGTTCACGAGTTTGATTCTTACTAATCACCGATCATTTCCGGTTATTTAATCCTAACCTAATGGTATTGTATTATAGTGGGAGGTTCACGGGTTCGAATCTAACCAACCACTAATGCTATTATAGTGGGAGAATCCTAACGCACAGCTGTTTATTTCAGCTGATCATGTGACTTAGTTTAGAGGTTTACGGGTTCAATCCTAACCTATCATTTAGAGGTCTATGGGTTCAAACCTAACACACAGCTGTTTATTTTAGCTGATCACGTGATTTGTTTTAGAGGTCTATGGGTTCAATTCTAACCAACCACAACTGTTTATTTCAGCTGATCATCTAGTTTAGAGGTTCATGGGTTCGAATCTAACCTATGATAGAGGTTTATGGGTTCAATCCTATCCTAGTAGGTCTGGAAAAAAACACATTATATAGTGTATAATGCTTAAACCTTACTGTTGATCATAATGGTAAATGTTGGATGTTATATTATATATGTTGTAGTGTATAATAAATGTGAAACAAATGATAATTTATCTATCTGATATTAAAAACAGCTGAAAGAGGGCTTAAGTGGAATTTTACCACTGAGTATAAAAATGGTCTTTGTAAAGGCTATTAAATATCATATGTCAAACTTACATCTAATCTATGCTAAACGAGTTACTTAGGTTGTTTTTTGTATAGTGAGAGGTTCATAGGTTTGATCCTTAGCGGGTTATATGAATTTATGTATGTAACCACAAGTGAAACAGGTCTATTATACTAGAGTACTAGTGTTGATGGTATAATTATAATAATGATTAACTTGATATAAGATTCATCATAACAGATTACTCTGAGTTGAGGTATTAGTTTATAAATTTTCTACTAGGTTGTAGCACTAGTGCTACCAACTACTGATTATATTGTATATGTAACATAACCTCAAACAAGTCTATTAATTTATTATTAAACGTTATAGGGAGTGTATATTATGTTGTTGTGTATAATGCTTAAGTGGAACTTTACTGTTGGGCATAAAACTTAATCTAAATATGTAGTAGGTTTATAGGATTGATTTTAACTAACCATAATTGGTATTGTATTATAGCGGGAGGTTCATGGGTTTAATACTTTGTAAAAAAACATTTTATTTTATATATGCTATAGTGTATAATAAATGTGAAACAAATAGATGTTAAAAGTGGGCTTAAGCAGAACTTTACCATTGAGTATAAAACTTATTCTAAATGTGTAGTAGGTTTTTAAGGGTTTGATCTATACTAAATGTTATAGGGTGTGTATATATGTTGTAGTGTATAATGCTTAAGTGGAACTTTACCGTTGAGCATAAAACTTAATCTAAATATGTAGTAGGTTTATGGGATTGATTTAACCAACCACAAATGGTACTGTATTATAGCGGGAGGTTTATGGGTTTAATACTTTGTAAAAAAACATTTTATTTTATATATGCTATAGTGTATAATTATAAATGTGAAACAAATAGACGTTAAAAGTGGGCTTAAGCAGAACTTTACTATTGAGTATAAAACTTATTCTAAATGTGTAGTAGGTTTGTAAGGGTTTGATTTATACTAAATGTTTGTGTGTATATATGTTGTAGTGTATAATGTTAAGCGGAACTTTACCGTTGAGCATAAATGGTAAATACTGTTAAATGTTGGTTGTTGTGTGTTTTGAGGTGTGTAAAAATGTGTTCTTGGTATAGTGGGAGTTTTAGAGGTTATGAGTTTAATCCTAATCAAATGTGTTATTTTTGATATTGTATTGTAGTGGGAGGTTTATGGGTTTGATCTCTAGCTGATTATGTGATTTTGTATATGTAACATAACCTCAAGCCAAATAAGTCTATCACTAAGTGTTAATGGTGTTTTATTTTAAGTTGTTATAGTTTACAAATCTCTATTAGGTAGCAGTGTCTTATTAACTACTGACTATATGATCTTTTATAAATGTTACATAACCTCACTTTTTACCTTAAAAGGTTTATTAATTTATCACTGGAGCGCTAGTGTTGATGGTATGGTAACAAGATTATAGTAA